GTCAAAAGCAGCAAAACTATTTAATCAARGTGGAATTGCTGTTGAATGGCTAGGTGTGGGGAGATTGTAAAGCATCCATTTGTGTTTTATCTAGTACTTTTAAAAGTTTTTTTMTTCCCTTGCTGCAGCCCAATAAATTAAAATTTCAGTGACTTACTCTTAATTTGTTAAGTAAATTCATAGGGAGTTTTGACTTTGAATAACAATTTGTGCTGTCTCAAGTGTTTGCTCAAATTTTTTAATCATAGGATAGATATCTAGCTTTGCAGTATTTTAAAGTACAGTTTTAATTTTCCATTTTGATTTAGCATTGTCCATGAGATTTTCACTGCAAATAATAGATGTATAATAGAAATTTGAAGGGTAGTTAATGAAAATCCTTTTATAAATCACTCAAAGATGTAAGCTAATCAAATCTCTCTGATTATAACTTAAAATTACTATTTTGTCCTTGTCCACTTTGAAACGTGACAGATATGCCATGGTGGTGTTTACAACTTTTCCCTTACCTAAATTCTGCAGTGTTGTTCTTACCTAGTTTTTATTATTGGGCGNTTTTTTTTTTTTCTATGACTGCGCTGGTTTTGGCTGGGATAGAGTTGGTTTTCTTCCAAGAAGTCTTCAGGAATGTCTTAGAGGGAGTATCTTTGAGATTTCTGTGGGGGTTTGATACTTCTCTCCTAGATTCTGTTTTCTCTTTTCACCTTGCTAGATCTCTGTTCAATCTCACCTATAAATCAAAATGCAACTCTCTGGAATTCAAGAGAAGSAAGTATTTTAGTAAGACTTACCTACTTTTGCTACAGCAGACATTGATGTATGCTAGCTCAATCTTGGAGGGGAGATTTTTACTTGGTTGTTTGCCTTGCTGAGAGTTGTGACTTCTCAAAGTTTCTRACCTATTTTTGTTGTGCTGGTATCTTTATGTGATACCTATGCATACRGATGTGTATTGACCTGTTAGTTATGGAGCAGCAGTTTATCCTGCTTGGTGTAATTGAAATGTCTCTTCATACTAGACAAGCTTAAAGGTGAATGTTTAGTCTTATTTTAGAGAATCAGTAAGATGGGCTCTTGAGAGGATAAGCAAGGCAATGGAGATTATTTCTGGAGAATATCTGGCAGCCAGTGTGTATTTGTTGTAGTTGTTGCTCAAGGCTTTTAGTGTGTATTTCAGGCATAAAAATGAGCAAAACTGCAACAGCATATATTGTGAATGCCTTTACTTAGAAAGGGACTTTGAAKATACTTCAAAAGCTGATGAACCCCCTTTTTCTGTCCTCATCAGGCKAGTCAGGGGAACAATACTAGGGCCTATATCTCCCTCTCTTTCCCCCATTGCTCATGATGTCCATCTGCTTCTCCTGATACATGTTTTCATGTAGTTTATTTAAGTATTTCATTTAATGCAGATATATTAAGTGKTTCCATTCTAACCAAGGAATTAGCAATGAACTCCTTTGACATTTTAACTATTGCTTTAGTAATTTATATTTTTAACTGTCCTTTCTGCCAGTTGATSCCATTTTTTAGAGGGTTAGAATTTTTTAAATGATAGATCAAAGAAATACCCTCATTGCATTCTCCAAAGTTTATACATCTTGGGGATTGTTTTAGCTTTTCATGATCAGAAAAGATACTTTAATGTAGATACAAGAGTTTGTGTGCAAGCCCTAGACCGAAAGTGCTGGTTTGTAACATTTGTGTGCTGTAGAGGATTAGTGTTTTCAAACAGTTGAATCTCTTTACTTTTCAAACTTGTGTCTTGTGTCCTTTTGTCTCCTTTATACATCCCATTATGAATCTCTAGCCATTATACTCTGCTTGATAAAAATGAAGCTATTGATTTTGCCCTACTGTTACCTTCTTTCTCATTCCCTAAAAATGAGGAGGATGACTGTACCATCTGGCACACAAACTTCTCTTTGGGCCTTTTTCTAAATGTTTGTGTTTGATGTGTGGCCAAATCTCGCAGATTCCTTCTTTGAGACCTTTGTTASATATGGCCTATCATAGCCATTACCACAGTTAAAGTGTTCTCACTTTGTATCTTAATTTCAATAATTCCTTTTTCTTGGCTATTCCTATGTTATCTAGTCATTTAGAATATTCTGAAAGATCATTTTCSTGGTTTATAAAATCAAACTGTATTTATGTATCTTATTCACTTTCTTTCTATCCAAAACTTATTTGTCTTTGCCATTAAACTGTTCATGGTTTAAGTGCATTTTTGTATCATCCTTCATCCCAAGATACCTATTCCTGCTGTTAAWTGGCTCATCATATGATCCACATTGGCCAGATGTTAGTTTTCTTTCTATAAAGTCCCTGCATTCCTTATAAACATCGTTTTTCAAAAATCATTTTTCTTCTCCAAAGCTCTCCTTAAAGTATTTTTTGCTGTGATGTCTGAATAAAGGCTGGACAAGACTTATCTCCTGGTGTGTAAGAATTCTGCCTGTTGAGCTGACCAATGTCAGATGTTAAAGAAAAAGGACTGGAGGGTAACTATTCATTGTCTTTAGTTGATCTTCAGCAACTCCTGAATTATGCCCTTTGCCTGTGGGCAATGCAAAGGAATTTGACTTAGGATCCTTGCCCTTTATTGTCTGCAAACTGCAGTTTTGAGTAGTTAAATATTTATTAACACTTGAGATTCTTTTCTTGTACTAAAACTGTGTCCTTTTCCACCAAGAGCTAATGTAACATGAATTACCTGGCATTTTCTCTGGGCTCTGAATGCACATATGGGCAGACAGTTCCCTGGCATGACAGTGACTGTACAGTTCAGAGCAGATAGCCTGAAATTCAGGAGGCAGAAGGTGAAATACTTGTGACTGAGGAGAAGCACTGAGAAGTACACAAAGTTCAGAAACATCATTACACCTTGATTTTTCACTTTCAATCTGTCTGTTCCTGTGATCCTGTGTACTTTAATTTCTCTGCTGTAATAAAGTGTRTACTCCACTGACAGTGTATTATTATTGATGTTTCTTCATAGAAAATAAGAGGCATTTGAGGATATGATTTCCAGTATGTCCATGGCATTTTCTTCCTGGAAATCGATCATCCTTTTAGGCTATTGTTTTCTTTGTCCACTCTGTCCTTCCTGGGAAAGAGAGTTTGARAGAGGTTGTAACTAGTGAGCTTGTCTTTATAGACTTATGTAAACATGAATGTAAGTGTTTTAGAGGAATAGTGTGTAAATGCTGTCTATTTATTTATTTTTATTGTAATTGTGTTTAGGTTTTTGGTGCTCAGGAATAGTCTGAGAATACAATGAATGAAATCTGGATCTGGGATTAAACTTCCTTTAAAAGTTCATGAAATACAAATAAAGAAAACAAATATATTTATTTTTCCCAAAAGAATAATTTCACTGTTGTGTTTTCCAAGTTGCACTTAAAGCTAATATGTGAAGCATAAAAATAATAGTTAATAATGAATTGTTTTAAGTAATATGCTGTATTTTATTTTTAAAGACATTTCAGAAGTGACTGTCTTTTATCTTAGTAGTTATTTTTCAGAAAAAAAATAAATGCATGAATTTTTAACAAAATTTTTATTGACTTCAAGCCTTGTTTTAGTATTTGTATTTGTTCTTTCATTTATTTATCAAACTTTGTTATATAGTGGACATTTAGTATTATGGAAAAAGTATACTAGAAACATTAGTGTTAATAGCTTAGTATTTTAGTCCTTCACAAATTAGTACCTGGGGTAACTGGATGATTTTAGGCCTGTTCTTACAAACAAGGCCTTACTGATGTGCAAGGAACAGTAATATGTGTCAAAAACTCCACATGAACCAAGGTAAGCAGTATAAATGGGGTGTAGGAATCCCCTGTTAGACTAAAAATCTCCAAGAGAAAATCTCCAGAGCCTACAAATTAAAGACCTCCAATATCAGTTAAAAATAAAGCCTTTTATATAGTAGGAGAGCATTTTTTCAGCTGATAATCAAATGACACTATTATACAGGCTTACTAGATTTGCAAATTTACAAGTTTTTACAAGTCAGTTGGGTCTTTTCCTCAGGAAATCAGTTCAAGTTTTTTTTTCCTGCATTGACTCAAAGAGCCTGGTTGTCTTTAAATCCTTCTGAATATATTTGCCTTATAATTTGACTGCATTGAGTCAACACCCTTATAGGAACTGTAATGCAATAAAAAAAGAGAAACTGTTCAATATAGTTTCCAATTACCTTAGGATCAGATTGGAGAAACTGGAATGTACACAATAAAACCTGCACAAGACTTGAGTTCTGTGAGATTTTGGAAGCAACCAGTGTTTTTCAACATAAAATACCATTTGAAAGCTTTACTCTGCTTCCAATGGTAGTAAAATGATAAAAATGAAAATATGTGTGTGTCTTGAAATATGCATTTTGCTTTTTAAACTTTCTGAACCACACCTTTGTGGAATTGAAAGCCTCCTATGTAAGTAATCAGTGCTTTTACTCAGTCAATTTTTTTATTATAGTGAATATTTTTGCTTTACCATGTTCTGCAATAAAATTCTTTATAACTTATTTACATTTTTACTTAGGAAAAATATGTCAGTTCAGATCTGCTTGGTGAATTTATTTTGTAAAAGTCTTCAGGTTACAATGGAATTCCCAATATGCAATTTGATTGCAAACAAAATACCGAATATTAGCTCTGTCTTGTTTTTGTATGTAGCTAGCAGTAAAGTTATTACRAAGTATTTGAGTGTATCCAGAAATACATTTGTACTTTTGAGATACAAATTTGTTGCATTTGACCACAGAATTTTAATTGTGGTTTCATTTTAGTTTTGCAAATAAAATTAGTCTGATGTAATAAATTCCTTTTATTTTAGCAAATTATTATAGAGAGAAAGAAACTTGCATTTGCATGCAACCTGTAAAGGAAAGTATTACATCTGATATGTTCCCAGTGAATAATTTCTAAGTTGGGTAACTAAATAGTTACCCAACTCCAGTGTAATAATTTTTCATTTCTTTGTCTTACTTTTAGTTGACTTGGAGCATATGCGCACAGTGAAGGCTGACAAGCACCAGCGACTTTGTCAGGAAAAGAATTTCAGTAGCCATTTTGTGTCAGCCAAGACAGGAGATTCTGTAAGTAAGAAAAAAAAAATCAACTTGTAGATGTCTGTTGTTTTTTGTCAAGATGCAGTAGTTTTATTATATTTTTACTTCATATTAAAAAACATTGAGAACCTGGCTGCTGCAGATCCTTTTTGCCTCCTTTAGTTTCATGAAAAGTAGATCTTTGAACATGAATGTGTATTACTGTTATTAAATTACAGTTGCTTCTCCTCTGATTTTCMGTTTGAGGTAAGATTTTAATGGAAATGGTCTGGCTTATATATCAGCGTGAGAACTGAGACCAGCTAAATCTCTGTTTGCTGTCAGCCTCTAGTTAAATATATTCCTTCATTCCAGGTGGAGTTCCATCTATAGACCATCAATATAGAAATTTCCAGCAATTGGTAAATAATGTGACAAGACCCTGTTGCAATAAAATTTTTTAATATGAGTCCTGAGCCTTGAGAGACTTTCCCTCTGCAGGTCCATTGAAATTTGAACATTCTGGCATTTGTACCAGATGCTTTGCAGAGTGCATTTTTGAGCAATCTTTTGACTCTGAGCTAACTGGGTTATTTGTTTTAGTTGGAAGCATATGAAAGAAAATGTTCRTTTTCAGTTGACACTATCAGTCAAATTAAATAATGTTGTATTGTTTTGCTTGATTTCTGTCACATGCCTAATGAGTTTGTCATTCCCATAAAACAGTCCTGTATCTGTCTCCTTAATATTACTGTTGACAAGAAAATTTATTTTGTGTTATTGAACAGTAAGACCATGTTCAAGTACATGGAAGTATAGTCCACAAATGGAATTCCTTGTTAAGGTCTCTGATGAAACTTATGCAGTGAGCTGCYTAGTTTTGTAAGATAATAGTTTCTCTGTAAAGTCTAACAATACTGCTGTTACAAATGCAGTGAGCCCTGATTCTCTTTGTAGTTGGTTTTAAATCTTGTTATAATTTTTTGCTTATAGTGTGAAAATGCGGGCTTTAAGTGCTAGAATCAGAAGAAAAAATCATAATGCTGCACTTAATAAAATTTGCATCTGATAAGATGTATTCTTTTCTCCAGGAAACCACCAAAATCAGTTCATTTTATAATTGATACCTTTATCATTGCTAATTATGACAGAATCTTTATTGCAGATTTTTAATTAATTCATTAATTACATCRGTATTCCACTATATATACTGATTGTACTTTTCAYAGCTTACTGTTTAACATGCCTAGAAAACTTTAATGGGAAATCTCTGCCTAAATATCTACTAACAAAARAAGTAGTTTTAATAGTTCATTTGTAGTTTCAATATAAATTTGAATTAGCCCTTTCACTGTTGCTGCACAATGATCTTTCACAATCTTCATGTACTKTGGTAGTTGTGCAGGAAAGATGGACTGTTTGTCCTACACAGTAGTTTAAGAAGAGACCATCCATTGCTACCATGGATATAGACTGGAGGAGTCTTACTCAGTTAAATGATGTTTTGTTTACATCAGATGTTTTCAACAGATGTGTTTGCAAAAGATGATTTTATATACATAGAAAATTCAGAAAGTCTCCCGAGAGAAAAAAAAAATCATGGAAGATTTATTATAGTTAACTGTGTTATCAAATGACATAACTGAAGCATTGCACTTGTCTTTGATRTTTTCTGCAGTGTCCTCAGGACAGGTGATGTAGCTCAGGGCACCKGAGAGCTTGGTGTGGGTTAAACTAGGTCTCTGGGTCTCAGGATCTCTGTTCAGTATGTCCTTTCTTGTTTAGATGTTGGTAGAACAGACCAGCAGTACATCAAGGAATTGATAAAAAAAAAAAATTGTTTTGAAAGGTACCACACTTTGTTGGTTGTGCCACTAATTTATTTCTGGTTTCCGTCTCAGGTGTAAGAAGGTTGTGAAAATTTTTCTGAATTTTTACTGAAAATGACTGAGAGCACATACATAGATCTTGTTTTTGGGGGGTTGCAGCTGCATGATGAAAACCAGTGTTTGTTAGTAACTGATGAACAGCCCTGCACATAAAATACAATGTGTAGCTTGGTAATACGGCATTCAGCAGCAGTGCACACTTAAGCTGCTTCTCCTGAACATCTGTCATGTTCTTTAATCTCATTTAAAATGCAGTTTTACCTAAACAGTAAGATAGGTGAACCATCTTCAGTTGAATTAAAGGAATTATTTAAGACAGCATTGCCACCCAGTATTATGTGTTAAACCACATCCARAGTCCAGCTCTGCCAGGCTGCTGCTGCAGGCTGTACAACATCTTGCTTGCTCCTAGATACTTTTACGTATATAATGTTTTGTAAGACTCTTTGGAACTATTTAATATTGCTATTTTTTGAACATTTAGTAGAGATTTTCATAGTCTCGATGCACAGTTTTGTTGTTCTCAGTTTCAGAAACCTACATCTCTTACTTCACAATACACTGCTAATATATTTTTGGGCTAAACATTAGTGAATACCCTTATTCATATTTTATAGCACTGAGAGTAGTATTTGAGAGGTGGGTTGTGTAAAAGCTTGTTTAAACTTAGGTCTCTGGAGGCAGAGTAGAAGTGTTGCTTAACAATCCAGCATACTGTTCATTCCTTGTACCATTGTTGAGTTATTTTCTCAAATTTTTAAACAAAATTGAAAGTACCAGATGAGGTTATTTTCAGATCTGTTTTTCACAGGTCATAATTTTGTATATCATTGTTTACAGTTCAAGAATAGTTTGATATATTTGAAAGAACCTCAAGGATGTCTGGTTTTAATCATTTAAATGCAATTTATTTTTTTTACATAGGTCTTCCTGTGTTTTCAGAGAATTGCTGCTGACATACTCGGCATCAAATTAAACAAAGCAGAAATGGAACAATCACAGGTGATTTTTCCACAAATACATGGGKTTTTTTTGGTATTTTATTTAGTATTAAAAGTGATCTTGTTGCAGATCAATAACTGTTCTTTAAATCAATCTTCATCTGTTGTTCKGAAGATAATTATTTAACTTCACAACAACTGAAAAAAGATAATAACTCCTTATTTATCCATCATGGTCAGCTCTCTGAAACAAGAAAAACATGTTCAAAAATGAAAAAAAATTTTAGTTGTGAGGATATTTGTTTAAAAATAGCACTGAAAATTAATTTAGAAGATAAATATGTATGCCTATACAGGTAGCATGGAAGATATGCATGATATTGTATGCATGGGTTTAAACAAAATATTTTTCTACAACCCAGTTTCAGAAACCTCAAAAAGAAAGACTATACTACTGAGGCAACTCTGTGTAATGAAATTTGACATTACAATTATTTGAATTTACATAGTGAAACCAAATGTTGYCATTATAGTGGTGTAATATCCTGGAACTTCTTTTCACTACTACTGTTAAAAAAGTACCACAAATTAAGTCAATGAGTTTATTTAAAATAACTGGCAAAACATTTTTTATGTACGGCTTGGTCTCCTGCTTTTTGAAATATACAATAAATATGTAATTTCTGAAAGTGCTTTACCACAGCAGTATTTGCAATCTGTGTTGAAGTAGTTAGCTAGAAAACTGTATTGTAAACAGTAAAATTGTAAAACATCCTAACAGATCATACTTAACAAGCAGAGTAGTTTCTTTTTTAGGCAGAGAAATGTAAGTGTGTCTTTTCAATGTTCTTTTATCACTACGGTATCATCCATCTGTTGTTCTGAGCTCTGTGATTATTTGCATATAAATAATTGAGYATATAGAGTTCTCCAATTTTTGTTTAGCTAGCACTGGAAGATCAGTCCTAGACCTCTCTGTGCTGAGAGTGGTGCTCCRTAACTCAGGTGTGAGATTGTACAAAGGTGTGCAATCCTTAAATTTAAAGGAGACTGAAAAGGGTTATATGGAAAATTGYCCTGTTGTAAAGAAAGTGTCTGTTTTTAGGTTGTTTTCAAAGTAAGAATCTCCACAATAGCCCCAACTCAAGAAAACCTAACTTTCTCTGTGAAATTGATATCAGATTTAAGTAGGCTTCCTTCTACCTTAGTATTGTAATTAGTTGCTAATTTTGTTGAGTAGATAAATGGATTATGCAATATATGGGTCAGACAAAGTTGAATTGCACAAGTTGCATTAGTAATAACCTATAAATAGTTAAATTGCATAAATTAAATACTGTGGCATACATTACTGTTAATGTGAATCCAGGCTCTA